TTTTCGCCGGCATCGTAGTCGGCATCATCAATGAGCCTTGCCATTCTCCGCACCAAGATACGAACTCGTCACAGAGACAAGTAAAGTCAATTCCTCGACCAAAGTTCCGCCGAAAACGGTTACACTATCACTCATCTCTCTGTCCAGGCCCATCTAACAACTCTTTACCCTCTTATTCAACTCCCGCACTCACTCGCTGATGATACCGACTACAATGCTGTCGAATCGCCTGAGAATGTACCAAGTCCACGATCTGATGCTGAGAATTATGTTAACTACTATTGCAGAGGACAAGACAAGAATTCGCCAGATGCTGGGAATCATGACAACTACTACTAGTCTCCCTGACAACAAGACCAGGTTGAGACAACTAGGTCAACTCACTTCTATAAATCGAAAGTAGACTGCGACCATAACAGAGGCCACAACATCTTGGTCTTCATATATTGTATTCACTTTAGTTCGTTTAAGGTGACAAGGGGACTGGTAGTTGAATCCTCCCCTAATGGTATGAGCAAAGATTACATTTTAACTACCAGTTGAAATTGAGTGAATGCACCTCATACTTCTGTACTTCTGTCTATTTCAAAAATGTCCGATAGTCATGTTTAGATAACCTGGTCGGTGCTATAATATGCTTTTAGGCCCCTGAAAGCAGCCACAATCTGGAGACAGATAAATATGGAATACTCGGAAAGCTGGAGCCATACTGTATTATTTCTTCATTCATTTGGGCAAATAAAAATATATTTCCTCCAAGAACAAACTTAGCCTACTTGTTCTCAATTAACTAACTAATGTCAATTAGCTTCATGTATGCAGGTTTGTCGTCTTTATGGCTTATTTGAAAAGATAATGATGTGTGCATTTAGTCATGGTTGAACGGAACTTTATGTCCTTGGGTAGTAGATGAGGAAGCATATCGTTGGTCGATCTCACCTCAAGACGAAGATATAATTAACTTTGATTTTACTGGGATGCCTAAGTAGAATAATTACTAGACTATTTTGATGGAGACCGGCTGGACTTTAGTCCGCCATGCCACTCGACAGACATCAGAGTCTAACCTCGTTGTCAAGGCAACTTAAGTTAAAAGTCAGCCGAACTTGCCAGTTCACTCAAACATGCTACTTAGCATCCAATATATGGTGAACTTGGAACGTATACAATGAATTGGTAATCGCATTTTCAAATAAGTCAATGCGCGCGATGTATGCGTGCGAAACGATACTAAATGACTGGTACTATTTTCGAGTGAGAAAAACATGGGCCTAAAGTTGCCATATGTTGTTAGAATTTAAGAAATTATTCTGACACAATATCCAAATTCATAAAATCAGATAAACTAGTAGTTAAAGTGTCCCACAAATGTTATGAGTAGACCTTGCATTCCATTGTATTTTACATAGCCTTGCTTTCCTAAAAAGTATTATAATCCAGGGTGGAGAGCTATTTCGACCTCGCCTAGGTCCCATCAGCTCCTGGCGAGACTCGAACCATGACAGTGCAACGTACAATCTTGACACGATAACCACTAAGTACCATTGTCGCAAATGCTCTTGGGTCATAGGACAGATGTGAATTTAAATCAGGGCCAGACCTTTTCCCATGTCACACAATGTGGTGGGATTATCGATGAAGTAAAGTTGATTTGCTTTAGCAATCGGCTACATTACTTATTTTTCATTTGTAATTAGGATTTGAGACTAACAATAAATCAGTTAGATAAGGTGTTGGTTTTAATGAATTCTTTACATCTTCAGAACGCATTTTCCCTCGAAATGAAAGTCAACCAAAAAATGAACTTTATCGAAATCTTCCTATAAACATGTTTTCGATAACCCCAGAAGTGGCCCTCTTATAAAATAAATCTACCCTGTCCCCTTTTGATGCATCCTATCTTAAGTCCTAGACACATAAAAATACGTAAGTTTACGAAGTTTATAAGGAGTAGGAATCAAAATATTGAATAGTATTTACGCTTTTTTTAAAGCCCCACAAGTTTTAATAGTCCCTTGGGTAATTGAGAAGCCATCGAAAATTTGATTCAAGATATATCTTTTAAGGGCAAATAGTTTTAGTCCATTTCAAATTATATTTGATTATGAGATCCTACAAATAGGGTCATTTTATGGTATGTGCATTTTTCGGCAGCTAGTTGGCAATTTTAATTGATGCTGAATTATTTTTTCATGCCTAAACATAATGTTGATGAAAAAGATTTCATTGGATTTTACACTATTTTGCATATGCTAAAGTTTACTCGAAATATACAAAGAAAAAGTAATAATGTTTTGCTCATATTTTCCGCACTTTTCTCATATTTGTAGTACTAGTTTCCGAGCTCCATAGCGTAGATATTGCGGATATTCCGACCAGGATAACGTGAAATTAGAATCTAGGTCTTTGTTTCTGGTCTTTATGCTTGTTTATTCTATGAGACCTGCATTCACTTTATTTAGTGATGAAGGACAGATAGTTAAAGTTCCTCAGAATGATAGGAGCAGGCAGCACGTTTACACTGAATTTCACTTAGCTTTACCTTCCAAAAGGACTTCTCATCAAGACTGAACTGCAGTTCTGACCTCGAGTCAGGTTGGTGGATATGTGTCGAGAATATGCTCTGCTATACCCTCGTTTATGTACTGTTGGGGTGCCGATGAGGCCAGGAATGGGTTGAAACTGTAGTACACTTCAGCCTGGATTAGGCCGGCTGAAATTCAACGGAAACTTAAGGTCTACTGATAAGATTTTGGGCCAATTCATCATCAATAACAAATGGCCTACTTGTAAAAATAAAACACGATCTTCCTCTGCTATGTTAATTTATTACTTAACTTTCCAGGGTCAGGAATTTCAAGTGAAGTCAAACTGAAACGACCCTCGGTATTCTCGTGTCCTGACACGGATAGGCCCGTCAATATGATGCCGCTGATGAACGATTTCTGCTCTTTACCCATGCTTTCCCGAACTGGAGCCGTGGTCACATCTTCTCGGAGTTCCAAGCGTCGGTGAGTAGCATTTCAGGCTTGTGAGTAACATCGTTAATTGGGTGCCTTGTGGCATCGGTTTATCATTCACAGTAAAGCGATCCCCCAGAAGACGGTATCAATTGCCTCCCCTGTTTCCTCTTCTCTTTTTTCCTAATTAACCGTTGCTATTTTTTCCATTTTCCTCCACCAATATCCGATATTCAAAACATGGATATATCGACATAAGTTTCTTTTTTATATACATCATGTATATATTCTAGTTTAGTTTCCATTTTCATTGAGCTTACCATTTTACTTGTCAATGCTATACAAATTAATCGCGAGAGCATGAAGCCTAACATAAGAAATTCACTGATAAGACTTCTTAATCTCTATGCCACCATTCACAATCATTGCATTATTAACAATGAAAGGTTTACTTTCATATGGCGAATGTTGCATTAACCTAATTTAGAGGGATCAGACTTTTGTTTGGACAGCATTATTATATGCCGAAGTGACCCACTTTCACAGTAATCCATTAGATTGGCAAATATCTCGGACTCTCTCGCTTTCTAAATATCCATTTTATGTCGACTTTAGGCTAATTTCATTTCCCAATCCCAGTCATAATTGTCCTCTATGCCAGCTCACGCTCAGGCTTGCACTCCGATTTCACCTCATCAATTGCTCTCTCTTTATCGAAATAAATGAGTAGACATACCATAGGCAAGTTGACCTGTCGATCCTCCCCAGCTTCTGGCCTCATGGCCACTTGGCCTATTCTGAAGCAAACTACCCAGAAATATGCATCTTAAATCTCGCGCGCAAGCTAGACTCTCCTTTTTGGTATCCTTTCTCAACTTCTGTGAGTGCTTTTATTAGCTCCAGATAAGTGATTGTCCAACAGAAATGCGCACGAGGCAATAAATCAAGTGTTTCCATAATTGCATTATTGTTGATGGTGCAGGATAGAAGTACCCCTTGGCTGAATACCAAGGTATTCCTGATGCAGTGTTTAGTGATTTTAGAATCTGGTTCAACCAGAAAAACCTTTCCATACTATGCTGTCCTAAATAATATTACATTATGCAGCATTAACACCAGAGTTCTCATAAAAAGACGAGACGTTCCAATAAATTTCTTTAATTTGTCATCCTATATGGTCTTTCTTATGTCAATCTATATTTTAAAAATGTACGTACGGTGTCTGGCATTTAGGGTGTCAACTTTGTCAATAATTATTGAGAGTTATATCCGAGCCAGCATAAGAAGTAGTTCAGGTTTTTTGTCAACTGTATTATATATTAATTATGCGTCCACAGGACGGCCAATTCCCAGTTGAATGAATATTCAGAGAAGAATATATAAAATGAGTAAGTTCCAAAGTCACTGGTAGATCTCGAATAAGAGCTCAATTGACCACGAGTCGCTTAAAGCAATATCGCCTTAATCAGATCAGTAAGTCTAACGGGTTTTAAACCAGATTTGTGAGCATCATGCGGCAGCGCTACCACATTACAAGGTTATATCACCTCAAACGATCTAATGAAGTACCATGCATTTGTAACGCAATACACTTTCTAGCAAATTGATGCCACTGAGTGTAATGGCAAATGAAAGTTTGCCTTATTGAGAGAGCCTCTTTTTTTTAATGTAAATAAGGAGAGGTCTGCAACCCGTAGCTCTTTGACCGAGTGCTAACGTTGCTACTAGAGGAGAAAGATCCGACTTTGAATCGTGTTGTGGGTAATAATGATATCTGTCATTCTTCCCTGATGGCAAATTATTTTGGAGGCAAGCCTAAGTGAAATCCCATGGAATCTTGATGTATTTCACTGGTTTAATTGTGGTAACTGAACTTATTGCTCTCTACTTCATCTTTGATGACCCGCGTGTCTCGGGTTCGTATTTGAGAACAGTAACTATTCCTATACGATAACTTCTTTATTTTATCGACATTTTTGGTCATAATACATCCTAAATAATGTCCATGCTAAAACTATGGCGGTGGACCCATAGTTATTCTATCATTTGGTTATTACTTGTGTGAATTCCAGTGGCAATGAAGGCGATTGCATTTAATAAAAGAATCGCAATTAAACCACGACTAGTAGTGGAGCCAAAATTTGTTTATATGCTTCAGTTTGACTGTCTCACAATTGGTTAAACCCTCGCTACCTATTATTCATACCTATGATCCTTCTCTTACTGGCTTTAGAATGAGTGAAAAACTGATTTTCGAACGATACTCTGCTATTTTATGAATAAAATAAAATATTTTTTATATTCCGCCAGAAAATGTAAACTAATTTTAATTTAAAGATACCTTCTGGGGAATATATATTATACGTATAGTTGACTCAGATGACTGTCTTTATTATATAATGGTCTCAGGTTTATATACACTTGATGAAGGTTCGGCGATTGACAAATTCGTATGAGTTGAAGGGGAATATCTCAATGAATGCTACCGCATGAAAGTCCTAGTAAAATATAGCAACAGCAGACCTCTTGATCTATAATTCAATCAACTAAGTAATTTTTATTCATAGGACTTATGTTTCTAAACTAAAATTTTATTTTAAATAGGAGCCTTTGTCACCCTCATGCAACCTAGGATGAATGAAATTTCTTATTCAAGATTTACTTATAATTTAGAAGCCTACTCAATCTGAGTTTGAGTAGTTTGATGTTTAGCTAACCTCGTAATTTCGATGCAAAATCTTTATCTGCTAAAGAGTTTAACTTTGTTTTTTATCTCAGTTGGGTCTCTGTATGGCAAAATAGACAATAGGATACCAAAACCCGTGCCATATCTTGAACCTTTTACATGCTAGCCCGGTTAGAGGATGGTTTCATAAAGGTAGTATAACCAAGATGATGTGGCCTCTGGTATGGTCACAGTCTTCTTTGATTTATAGAAATGGGTTGACCTCGTTGTCGCAACTTGGTCTTGTTGTCATGGCGACTGAGTAGAACGAACCTAGTCCGAAGTCGTCTGCCATAGTAGTTGTTATGATTCCCAGCATCAGACAGTGTACTTGGTACATTCTCAAACGTTTCTCCGGCATCATCAGTGAGTTTTGCCATTCTCCGCACCAAGCTACGAACTCGTCAAAGAGACAAGTGAACTAGATCCTTCCATCAACGTTCTACTGAAAACGGTTACACTATCACTCCTCCTCTTTCTGTCCTGGCACATCCTCCAACGCATTACCCTCTTATTCAACATCCGCCCAATCACAACTTCTCACTTAGTTGCATTCCACTCGTCTCACTGACAAGTTCGTAGTTTGTTGCCGAGACTGGCAAAACTCATTGCTGATGCTGACTACGATACCGGCGAACGGTTTGTGAATGTACCAAGTACACTGTCTGATGCTGGGAATAATGACAACTACTATGGCAGATAACTTTGGACTAGGTGCGTTCTACTAAGTCGCCATGATAACAA